TGCAGCCGTATCGATCAAGTGGTAAAAAATTCAAACCATTGCACTACGTGTCTTCGCTCTAATATGGTAGCGACCCATCAATCCATCCATCAGATCAACTCCTCTCATAGATCTGTTGTATTCGCGAATGATCTGCGGACAGTTGACTTCGATGTATTTCTTTTTCTTTCGATCATATCGTGGTACTCTTGCAATTATGTTGATTTGGATTTGCTCTCAAAAACGGCTCAAAGCCACCGTAAGTCGTTGCCAGCCGCACGTTCTTAGTATCCCTCCATGAAATTGTACTGAAATCAACACCGTACGTAGATTCAACATATTCAACGGAATATATATCCTCTTTCTTCATCTGTGATATCCCTATCCAATGGAAGTTTACAGTTTGGTATTCTATCTGTCCGTATTGTACCAAGGCTACAGATTCCTCTTGCACGTAAATAAAATAACAAAGGTAAAGACTTATAGACATTGTCGAAGTAAAGGATGTGATGAGAAAAGCTGTGTATGGTCTGTGACAAACGTACAACAACGTTTGATATGTTTCCACGATCGGGAGCATTCATTTCATTGGCCACCAAATCAATAATCTCTTGTGAAGAAATAATTCAAGAGTTTTATTGGTGTTTTTAGTTCTTTTATTGCCGATGGCAACCGTGCATCTCCTTGGAAAGCTACTTCGTTTACATTTAAGCGCGTTGATCGCTTACGCCACGTTACCTTGGTAAATTATTCCGAATAATAACACTATTGCTAAAGTATGAATATATAATTATTACCTCTCCCAGTAAAACCACCAATAGAAGTCGTGATCAAAGGACCAGAATCTTCCATTATAGGTAATGGCGAACGGGGTCGTTTCGTTAGCTTAAAACTTGCAGCATGTGTGGCATCGGTGGCTGAAGTAGATGGAATTGCTTTCATAGATGTAGACGACCCAGCCTCCTCCTTTTCTAAAGATTCGACACATTCGTCAGCTTAGATTTGCACCGCCGTTGCCATTGTTGATGAAGCAGCAGGTGCTTCTATGTCACAGATATTTAGCGACATGTTCACATTTTGAATAAAGTAGTCGCTTGTTTCATTTGCTTGCATTTTACGGATACACTCTGTAATCATTTGGAGCGATCTCATTCGGCTCGTAATCTGTGTCGATGTCTGGATCATCACTGCTATAATCAGCATCCGACGAATCCGTTTCAACAGCCTCTATACATTCTTGGATTTTATTTTCGGTCATTACCGACAAATTAAACTTTTTCTTTCTCCAGTTGTTATTGCCTGCCATTTCCAGAAGCAAAATATACAAATAAGTGCTAAAACGTTGGGAAACAATAGCACAACAATACAACACAACAAAGTGAGACGAAACTTCACATAAACCGACAAAAGGTCCCTCAGGAACCCTTTTTATTTTCGCTTCTATAAAGCACACTCAGAATACTTGTTTTGTAATAATTACAATATATAGTGAAACTTGAAGCTCTAAACCACTCATAAAAAAATGTTTTCACTAAATTCAGATTATTTGCAGTATCATTTACTTGAGAGAGATAATTGTTCTGCGTTTACCTCGACCTGTTGCACAAAACTGAGACAAAAATGTAACGATAAGGTTTAATGAATTTAGAATGCATTTGAAACGTCTCGTAGACGAACTAGTGCGTGAGATTCTAAACAGTTTGCGGCTACCTGATTTTTCCTGCGGCTTAAATAAATAATAAGCAAAGGGGCCCACAGAGACCTCGTACCAGTTAGAGGGTTAAAAAACGTAGTGTTTAGAATGGATCTTTATGAATATGAAAATTAACCTGATCTAATTTCGGTGTTGGAACAAATTTTATATAAAAGTTTAGTGAGAACAAAATATATTTTCAAGAAAGTGCATGATTTATATCACGGAATCATTGTTTAAATAATTAAAAATGGGTCATTTTTGATGACATTACTGTATTTGTGTAATGACATGGGTCATTACACAATTTACCTGTAAATAATAACTGCAGCGGTAATTCATGTTTTATGATGGTTTTCACGATTTTTTCTGCAAAGTTGAAGGGAAAAGCTTTCATTTAAGACTTGCTAAATTAAATTTAACCCATACTTTATTTAAATAATTAAAAAGCTTGAAAAACAAATTAGGAAAAAATATTATTTGCATAATAAATAAGCACAATAAATATGTTATTTTTTAGGAAAAGTTTAGGTATATTGCCAATATAAAGCAAAAAAAAATTGTTTGAAAAATATTCAATAGTTTATCAGATCTTTAATTTGTTTATTAATTATTACTATTTTTTCGATTGCAAAAACGAGGTTGTTGATAGCGATAGAGTATATATACACACTTTTATAAGGTCTCATTTTTGTTTGATTTTATGTATATTTTCGATAAATGCAATGAGAAATAAAAATTTCAATTAAACTCTCCTTGAAAATTCTTCCAATTTGTTTATAACTTGTTTTTTTTAATAACGTCGAGGGAATTAAAAATTTTGATAATTAAGTACTTACAAACATTACTTTTTTTATTTACTTTAAAATCTATATATTTTTCCCGCTGAGCTAGTTTTTCTGTATTTTTCATTCAAAATGTAATGTGTTAATCTTCTGTAATGAACTGTTTCGCCTGTCTTTGTCCTGGTGAATTCCTCCACTATTCCAGATATTTGTGATCTACCCACTTCCTTGTAGCCGTTCTTGTTACTGACTTTGCAACGATGCAGAAGCGTTCCGGTCCAATGAATAACATTGATGAGCCTTGTTTGGCCATTTCATCTGCTTTTTCATTGCCCTTATGACCCTCGTGCCCCGGTACCCAGGCTACCGTAACCTTGCTACGGTCTCCTAGTTTATTTAGGGCACACACATAATCCCATACTAGCTTAGAATTGACCTCTACAGAATTGAGTACCTTTAAGCGCTGCCTGACTATCTGTGAAGATGGCAACTGAACAGAACATTCTTTCCTGTCTTTTTATTTCTTCCACGCGGTGATGGATTGCCGTTATTTCCACCTGGAAAACTGTCACATCCTTAGATAGACTTACCGGGAAATGTATCCGTTGATTTGTCCCTACTATGCCTGCTCCCACACTCTCCGACGTTTTTGAGCCATCCGTTTACCAGGTAGCAGCAATTTGTAAGGGTACGGCTTTATTCCAGTCTTCCCTGCCTGGTATCTTAATTGTGAACTTATTGTTAAAGCCATATCTCGTAGCTGTTGCATCGAAGGTTGCCCCATCACAATATCGGCTTTTAGCACCTCGATTAGCTTTCTGTTGTCAGCACCATGTGTCGCTGACTATGGATTAATCTGTGCATCACTGATCTGGCTTCGCCCTGTATAAAGATATGAAGTGGTGGTAGATTCAGCAGGACTTCTAACGATGCAGCAGGAGTTGTTTTTATGGCCTCCGTAATACACAGGCATGCTAGCCTTTGTGTATTACTTAGCAGCCTTATTGTTCCCACTTGCTGCGTCTTTGTACACCTCACCGAGTCATAGGTTATCATGGGTGTAATATCCCTTGTGTATAACCATAGAGTCATTTTGGGGTTAAGTATCCAATTTTTACCGCACATTCTTCTACATCTGCCCAGGGAGATAGTAGTTTTCTGTGTGGTTTTCAGAATGTGAGTATTCTATGTAAGCCTATGATCAAAATACACCCGAAGGTATTTTGTTTCTTTGGCAAATGAAATCTCTGTTCCTCCCAGTACCGGTGGTTTTAGGCCTAGTAGTGCTGTTTTATTGGTGAAGTTGGCGATTTGTGTTTTCTGAGCATTGACTATCAGTCTCTTGTTTACACCAGTCATCAACTGTATTTAGGTTTGCTTGCATTCTCTCAGACACCACCTGAGCAAACCTGTCCTGACAACGATTGCTATATCGTCAGCATCTACCAAGGCTGTCCAAAATAGAGGGGACAGAACTCCTCCTCTCTCTTTGTCTTCTATTGACTTTGAGATAAGCCTATTTAGATCATCCAACGCAGAGTTCGTCGATTACGTTTGATATGCATATTGACGATTGCTTAGAGGATTATCTTTTAGCACTTCATCTCTGATGTACCTATCAAGAAGCCTTTCCAGCGTTTTTAATAGTAAAGAAGATAGGCTTATCGGTCTATATGACTTTGGTGTTAGGTCTGATACTTTACCTACCTTAGGCAAGTATATGACTTTAACCTTTTGACCCCCCAATGCTAAACTGGCTTTGAGGAGCTTGCATAGGTATGATATCAATACCTTGGATATATGCCAACTGTCCCTGGAGACTTATATGGCCGAAGCTTATTTATAGCCCATCTAATTCTGTTTGGTCTTGTGATGGCTATTTCCCAATCTGTAGACCTTGGCCTAGTGAGTCTTTGGTCTATGTAGGTTTGCCTATCTGCATCATCCAGAATTGTTGAGCCCGGAAAGTGCGTGTTTATCAGTTCTCTAAGACTTTCCTTTTTGGTGTCCGTAAATTTGCCATTAGCTTTCTTAAGGAAACCTACTTCTTTTGTTCTAGCTCCATTCTTTGCCAGTGGTCGATGGATTCGAGAACATGCCGGGATATCTGTGATCTCCTCGTAAAACTCTCTCAAATTCCTTTTAGCTTTGCGAATTTCTTTATTGTATAGCATTAGCTTATACCTGTGGGCATCACAATCTTGGTTACTTTTGGCTTTATTAAATAGGCTTCGGACTTCCGACCTTATCTTTTTTAAGCCGTTGTTCCACCAGACTGTATTACTGCCCGTACTTTTCCTTGTTTTTTCTGGACAGTTTTCCTAGTAAGCCGCCTTAATAGTAACTTATATGTAGTATACTCTACTATTAAAATGTCAATGAACTATCAAAATTTGGACGTGTACATAAAAACAATTTATCGCTCAGCAGTAATTGATGCCTTATAAAACCACGTGTTTGATGTTTTAATGTTATCTATATTTATAAAACAATAAGTATTTTTAATTTTATAAATTGAAGAAAATAAGATATGATGCCAATTCTTTTATTTTGCAATGTAAATAAAGATAATTAAAATATTTTTGAAAATATTAGCAAAACATTCAGAACAAAGAATGTTACATTTGCGGAAATAATTAGGTTAAAACGGTTAACCTCATTTGTAGTCTCCATAAAACATCTGCTGTTAAAAATGGCACGACCATTTGGCAAATTGTATTCATTTTATCTTTATTCAGATCTGATATTAAATATTGAAGAGCTTTTGATATTTAACGTTCTTTATTCCTGTTTATACGTATGTTGGATAATACTTTTGTATAATCTCAAGTAAGTTTTTTGTAATTTAATTTAATGTGGATTTTGGGAGTTAAAAAGTGTCGAACGTGTCATATTTTACGCTTATCGACACTTTTTGATGCTGTTTGACCTCGAAAAAGAAGAAGAAACAGCTGATTCGTTCTATCCTATCAAGTGACAGCTTGTGTTTACGTACGTTACACCGTTTAGGTACTAATCTTAAGGCGCTCTTGGCGTGACGTTATCCTTAATGTTTCTACAGTATTGGACTCCCTGATCTCTCCGTTTTTCAGCGAAACCTCATACATCTTCATACAATCAACCATTCAAGTGTGACCTTGAAATGAGTAAAATTACGATAATTAATCTTACCGTTTTTTTACTGGGTCACCCTCACATCACCCTTTTCTTAGATGTTCCTCTGCTCTGCATCCATCCATTTCTTTTTTGGTTACCCTTTTTTTCCTTATGTAATAATCTTAAGTCATTTCTTTTCTTTTGCATCCATAAAACGTATCCTACGCACCTCACTCTGTGTGCTCTAATTTTCTGTATAAGTTCGGGCTATCCATAAATCTCCATTAACTCCCAGTCAGATCATCTTCTCTATTCTCCTTTTACTGCTTTTATACCTGCGAAGATTCTCTGTTGGATTTTTCTCATTCAAACCTAGATTTTTTTTCTGATTTATGATCCATGTTTCACCGGCGTATCACGTACAAAAATCAATAAATTTATCACTTTCATCGACCGGTCACTATGGAGTTTCCATAATTAGAAACTAATCTTCAAATCCTATAGCATGAAATTTTAGTTTTGAGTTTTGGAAACAAATGTGAGACATTTGATATATGCTTAAAAAACACTGAACATTTACTTTACTTTTACATTACAAACTATCTAAAACATTTAAAACTGTCCTTTTTTAATTGCACTAGTACGTGTTTCAAAAGTACTTAACTTCTGCTATAAATTACATCCAGAACCAACTTCTTGGAGGCATTTCCCGTAACCTGCGATCGTTTGTAATGTAAAAGTTTAAATTCTGCATGTTTAGTCATATTTCAAATGCCTCTATTTGTTGCCAAACATCAAAATCGAATTTTCATGTTTTCATTTTCAAGTTTATTTATCGAACAGCTTTATAAAACCTGACTTCAATTGCGAAAAAATACAAAAATTGCATACGAAAGCTACACTCTTCACCTTTAAAACGCATTTTGATTTTTGTCGATAGGACACTCCGATCAAAAGATATCGGTCTTTTACTGTCGAGTTGATACAAATTTTATTTAACATTGATTTCGCGCGCGGAATTGACATTCAAAATCGCCGGTCGCTTCAAGCGTTGTTTCTGAGAGAACGGTTCATTCTACATAATAATTTAATAATAAGTGTTTGTTTGACTAAAATCTAATTCCCCCCCTTCTCCCCGTCCTAAACCCTCCCCCCCTCTATCGTCTATCCTGGTATTCCCCTGTACTTTACATAACTTTTTTCTAATAATTTTTGTATCACGTTATATGCGTATTCTAGTAAAACGATTCATCTATAATTTTTGTCTTCTTTTTCATCTAAAATAAATTTTATCTTCTTTTCTACAAATTACATATTATATCATTTTGCTCTAGTAATTTCTAAGTTCTGCCAGACTACTAAACCCAGTCCAGCTATTATTTCTTAACCGTTTTCAATATTGCTGCTGACACTCGGCTTATTTTTTAGTTTCTTTTATTTCTTCTACTGTCGGATTTTGTATTTGTTTCTCGTTTAATAAATCTTCTAAATTAATATTATACCCACTTGGTTAGTTTATTGATTATATCTCCCAAAAGTAATTCTTCCTTATTTCTAAAAAAAATTTATATAATGCCTCTATTATTTGTCCATGTTTCTCTAGATTCATCGATAATTATTTGCCTTAGCTCTGCAACATTTCCTGGTTTAGTTTTATAAATTCTACTTTCTTAAGGATCCCCTGTAAAGATAATCTTTAGAATTCAAATCGGGTAAACGAATTGTCCGTCCAGTTTTTTTAAAGCGCTTTACAATTTTTTGTAATGTCGCCTTATAGATAGGAGAATAGTTTGGGAAAGTATCGGTGAACAGGTTGGCTTTTTTCATTAAAAACCATCTTTACTGTAGAGCTTTTAAAAACACATAAAACAACTTTCAACTTTAGTTATTAATATAATTTATTTTACAAAACTTTTTAATAAACGTCAAGGTATTGTTGCTTCTACGAATTAATGTCAAAATCACAGAATTTTATATTTACTGAATTACTTCAAAACTATTTGGCACTGAGAAGTTTTATTTATTTAAGAACTTCATGACTAGATAAAATATCAAGTGTCGCATATGGTTGAACTCGTATTGTAGTGAGGATTTCAATAATCATACAATATACAGAGTGTTGTATTTAAAAAACCAAAGTGACTAATTATATTAACAAAATGGTAAATCAGGCAACATTGCAAGCATCAAATTTGAAATCTTCATATCCAGACCATCCATTTAAGAGATAATTAGGCATTTCCAAACTTTCGGTTCACTCTATATATAGATTGTACATTTATTTGAAAATTTTTTCATTATGATATCCGGTTTGGAAATCGAAACAAAACATTCAGTGGAGATATGAAAAAAATCGACGTATTTTTGTTTTTTTTTTCGCAAAAAATGTGACTTACAGATATTCGATTTGTTTCTTTTCTGTTGCACCCTGTATAATTTTATTTCTAGTCCTAAAATATCGTTTGATAATTGCTATGCAATGTATGTGTCTAATTTGAAAACATACGGGCAAACTATTTTATGTGTGTCATGAATTGCGTGAATTTTTTGTGATTTATACAATTTTGTACATTTGGGTGGTTGGCATGTTTATGCATGGGTACTAAAAGGATATATTAATGAAGGAAAGTATTTAAGTGTATACATTTCAAATTATTTTAACTAAATACGTTAACAAATATGAATAATTATATTTTAAAATCTGTATTTAGATAGTTATAGTTAATAATGCAGAACTAGTAGGTTTTTTCATTTTTCTAGGAGCAATACAGATGTTTTTAATATTGTCCATTTGTTTAATGTTGTCTGTTGACAACAGGTTATAGGTAATATTTGTTTTTATTTGTCATCCAGAAGTTTTTATGGAATCGAAAAGTTAACGAGAACATTTCTCCATTCTATTTTATTTAAGAGAGGTTCTTCAATCCATATGTTCTTCACTTGATCCGAAATGATTCCCAGTTGTAAATCTTTAAGCTTTGAAAAAATAAAGTTCAGAAGAAACTAAACCTGTCAAATGAGAATTTATATTTTCAATCGCTCAATTTTTCTACTGACTAATCAAAAACATCTGTATATATTGTTGAATCAGTAAAATTTTCTTTTCTTTTTTACGAAACAGATCGTTGCTCTATCATTTATTCATCTAGCTGACCAACATTAAAAAATCCATTGCAATCTCTAAAAACATTACCTATAACCTTTTTGTAACAATAAAACACTGAAAACTTTGTTTTTAAACTTCCACAAAATTTATTTTTACTATTATCACTACAGCTGTTTCGACTGATTGCCTTTCTCAAGTGATCTATTTTTGGCATACGTTTACAATTTATAGTCTCTAATGAAATAGGTTGAGGAGGGGAGAACTGTTAGTCTCAAGTTGGTCATTCAGAATTATAGTTTTAATTTGTTGATTTCCATAGATTCTAACAAAGATAGCTTAAGGCCTTTATTTTAAATGTGAAGAATTTTAAATTTGTCATTAAAAGAATGATTATGATCTAGAAGGTGCAGTGTGTATGTCGAATCTGTTTTTCTATTATTGAAAGCCCTTTTATGTTCTGCTATTCGTTTATCAAAGTTTCTACCAGTTTGACCGATGTAAGTTTTTGGGCAGTACATACAATTTATTATTCCCGTTTTATTTCATAATCTCCTTTGGGTATTCTGTAAATTGATGTCTGTTTCAGTATATCTCTGCATAACATTATTTTGATATTAAATTTACAGATTGCTTAAGATATTATCATAATTCTTTCTATTTGAAGATATTTTGAAATTCTTGACACAGAAGAGTTAATGGTATTCAGCTGCAGTGGAAATTAAAGCTCCATGGTGATGTTTAAATCATTAAAAGATCAGCTACCTTTCATCGCGTCTAAAAACCTATTGATCTAGCTTTTTATCATCAAATTAGTTAATACCTTCACTTACTTATTCCTTCATTAATATTATAGTACTTTCTGTACTCCAAACGAGGTTATTAACGAATAATACTTTTTAGGGCCACTCTACCTGTACAAGACCCAGACAATACGGTGAAATGTGACATCCACGCCGTATCACCAACGAATCATTCTAAAGAACAGCCTTTCAACGGTTCGCCTAGAAGACATTCCTCAGTGGACGAGATCTTTGGTTTAGTAACGTCCATGAACTTGACCGGTCAGAGGCAGAGATCTTTGAGCGACAGCAGCAGAACCGGAAGGACTAACCGAGATAGTAGTAGGGAAGTAAATGGTGAGTAGTACTAAATCGATCAATAATAGAGTGATTTGTAGATTACAAAGGGGGTTATTTGGCCTTGTAACACTTTTTTGCCACTCTGTATGTCATAAAAATTTCATAAGGTTTTGATAAACATTTCGAATTGCTTCTTGAAATTTTCTAACTAAATATAAGCACAATTAAATTGTTTATTTGCATTGGCAAATGCCACCAAACAAATCCAATTGCTGTTTTTTGTTCTCTCACGATTCCTGTTATATGAATTAAACGACCAAATAGCCTGCTTAAGATCCAACGTCGAAGAAGATTGTGTAGGAAATTTTTTTTTATCAGCGATAGGCACAAGGGGAGAGTGCCTTTGGACGGTAGCATCGGATCGAAAAACATTCCTTTTTTACTTTCCATTTGCAGTTCAGTTTATTTGCAGTAAATTCCAAAGCCAGAACATTCCCTTGAATTCATTTTTAAGTTGCCCAAAATATTACCCAAGTTCTGGGCCTCCTTTCGATCAATACAGATTTATTGTAAATTACACACTAATACACTTAATTTTTAATTAATGATTTTATGTCTAGTTCTGTCATCATATATTTCAGGAACGGAGGAGGATCCTAACCATGAAGGTGAATCCAGCGATATGGTAACTTGTCCACCTGTACCACCTAGAAAACATCGTAGGAGGCATACACCTCCTAGACCGCCTAGCAATGGCCTACCACCAACGCCCAAGGTCCATATGGGCGCGTGCTTTTCCAAGGTAAGACAAAAAAACACTACAAAATAATCAAAAACTCTATTTATAATTAAAGAACTACTAGTCGTCACAACTAAATGTTCAATAAAACAAAAATTTATTTAAAATCATTTAAACAAAGTAAATTATTGAAATAAAGGAAAATATGTTGGTAATTAATTACTATTTAACTGGGAATAAGCCACAATTAAAGATAAAAAATACGTTTATTGACGTTTCAATTTCCACTTCGGAAATCGTTCTCAAAATACAAACAGTAAATTAAACAAATTTTGTTTTTTGTTACATAGTGAAAAATTCTTCTAATAATTTAATTTTATCTGACTCATTTATATTGACAATTCAGACATACATTATGCATTTTAAAGTAGACGACTTTAAAATGATATTGCCAATATTGTTGAATTGCGCTCCTGGGACGACTTTACTTATAAGATAGTTCATTTGATTACATGAAATCAACTTTAACTTGAGAATATCCGTCAGAAAAAATCATAGCATGTAATTCGTCTTTAAAAAGACAAACACATGACATGATGACAGTAAAATTCTCCTCTTAGTGATTCCATAGTAAATTATGACGGAAAACCCAGGAAAAAACCTCATAATACTATCCCGACATGGTAAGTATTTGTTCGTGTATTTAGTTTACCTTCAATAAACACCAAAATTATGATTTTATATGTTTCGTTATTTAAAAAACATAAATGATGTATCCTCTATATGTTACTGACTTACTAATACTGGTATTTTCTTATTAATAACTTCCTCTTTCAATATTGGTACCCAGATCCTACTACATTCTGCCGAGGAATTTGCGACACAATTGGCCTCATGTAGCATAATTAGAGCAGCTTCTTTGATTTTTCTTTTTTTAGCATCCGTTTCTTTTAGGACTACATTTGAATTATTCCATTGAACCCTATGTTCATTATCCCATGCGTGTTTACATATTTGAGATCTATCAAATTCTCTATTTTTAATATAAGATTGATGTTCACTTATTCTAACATTTAATGACCTTGATGTTTCACCTAAATAAAACTGATCGCATTCACAAGGTATTTTATAAATGCAATTCTTTGTCCTTTCTTGTTCATTGTTAGGTTTGGTTTTGGACAAAATAGATCTCAACGTGTTTGTTGTTTTGAATGTTGTTGAAATGTTGAATTTATTTCCTATCCTTTTAAGTTTTTCTGATAATCCTTTTATGTACGGTATTGTTATTTTCCTCGTATTATTCCTTGTGTATGCTGTAGGATCTCGTTCTAAGTTGTTCTGTTCTATTCGATCGATTGTTGAAAACTCCTTATTTATAAACGATAAAGGATAATCATTTTTTTATAAAACAGATGTTAACAAAAATGTTTTTCCTCCAAGAACGAATTTTCGTTAGAACAAGTAATTTTGGCTCTATCGTATAAGGATTTAATTATTCTCTTTTTTACATTAATATTGTGATTTGATTTGAAATTTAAATATCTATTGGTGTGTGTTGGCTTTCTATACACCTGAGTCTTATATCCAGTATCGTTCTTAGAAATTAAAACATTCAGGAAAGGTAGCGTATTATATTCCTTTTCCATGGTAAATGTTATTGTCTCTTCTTTATCCTTTATATCATTTAGGAATGTGTCCAACATCTCTGATCCATGAGGCCATATTGAGAATACATCATCTACATACCTCCACCATACTGTCGGTTTTAAATTTTGTTTAGAAATGATATTTGTTTCAAAATCTTCCATAAATATATCGGCTAAGAATGGAGATAAACTAGAGCCTATTGCTAGACCAAAATTTTGTTTATAGAATTCATTATTTAGTTGAAAATATGTATTATCAGTACATAATGTTAATAACTCCATTATAGCCGATCTGTTTAGTCTTGTTCTAGTTGCCAGTGAATCATCACTCTCTAATTTTGTCTTGACTATACTTAAAGTCTTAATTAATGGCACATTCGTAAGTAAACTATTTATGTCAAAACTTACCAAAGTATTATTTGAATTAAATTCAATATTTGATAATTTATTTAAAAAATGTTGTGTATTTTTTATGAATGTGTCATTTTTATTTGTAAATGGTTTTAAAATATTTAATAAAAATTTTGATAGTTCACTACAAGGAGAATGGTACTACAAATGGGTCTAAGTGGTATATTCGTTTTATGAATTTTCGGTACTCCATAAAAATGAGGAGTCTTACTGTAATGAGGTGTAATTAATCCTCTCTCATAACTTGTTAAAAAATCTTTAAACTTGAATAAAGTTCTATATATTTTGTTTTCCAAAGGCTTTGTTGGATCTTTTGTTAAAATAAAGTACCGATGTACCGAGGTACCATGTACCGTATGAACATGGGAAATAAATCATCTTATCTTATTTTATAAAATTTTTGAAAATATAATGGTTAATGATATAGAAAAGTAGAAAAAATTGTACAAATCCAGTAAAAACCCTCGAATAACCGAGTCTATAAAATGGGAACAAACCCCCTAAAAAAAACCAGTGTTTCGAGTTTTTGAAGATGACACGCCTTAAATAAAAAAAAATAGACTCACGGCTATCTCAAAAAAGTTTTTCCCGAGAAAAAAATTCAACCCACCGAAAAAAAAAAAAGGGAAAATGAATAAATTACGTTTTGCTGTGTAGGGGGAAGGGGGTGGCGGGCTAAAATTGTCTTGAGTCCTATTATATATATATATATATATATATATATATATATATATATATATATATATATATATATAATATATATATATATATATATATATATATATAACACAAAATAACTTTGTATTATTGTAAAGAGAATGTGAAGCGGATTTGAAATTTAAAATAAAATACAGGGTGTTTTATTAAAAAAATCTGCCTCTTCTTTTTGTAAATATCTTTTGGTTGTTTCTAAAGTCACTAAAGTTCTTCACCTTATATATGAGATTCGTACAATTCCTTTCCTGTCCCCTAAAGTGAATAAATGACTACTTATAATAGAGACCGACAGCAATATATTTTGTTTGCTTACAGGTATTTAACGGTTGCCCGTTGAGGATTCACTGTACGGTATCTTGGATCAATCCCGAAACTAGAGATCAACATATCCTCATTGGCGCCGAAGAGGGTATTTATAATCTCAATTTAAACGAATTGCACGAAACGTGTATTGACCAGTTATATAATAGGAGAACAGTTTGGATGTATGTGATAAAGGATGTCCTTATGACGCTATCAGGTAAGAAAAAACAAAATTGATTCACTTTTTGATAGCTGTCAATATAAACCATTAAAACTTTTACTGCTCAGGATGTTTCTATCCGAAGATTGTGATTGTAGAAAGAACGTATTAAATGAAAAAATGATTTTAAATATTTCAATTGTATTAAATTAGACAGGGAAAGAGTTGCTGAAAAATGATCTTTCTGGCCAGAATGTGGTATTAGGGCACCACTTTTAAGAAAAATATTTTCTTGAATGATTCTAGGACTTCTAAAAGGAGGTTTGCTAGCCACAACCGCTCATACTGGCCAGAAAGGTTTGAGAATTGTTAGGAATAACATTTGCTTAATACACATGGTTATATTTAATTACTAAAAGACAGCTTTACTTGTTTTTAGGAAAAACTCCCCAACTTTATAGGCACGATCTTCTAGCTCTTCAAAATAAACAATCCCACAGGTTTAGTTTGCACATGAATCGGATACCAGAGCGCCTTGTGCCGAGGAAATTCGCTCTGACTACGAGAGTACCTGACACCCGAGGTACGCTCAAATGTTGCGTCGCACGCAACCCCTACAACGGATATAAGTACCTATGCGGAGCGACAGCAAACGACATATATCTGATGCAGTGGTATGATCCTCTAAACAAATTTATGTTATTAAAGGTAAGAGATATAAAACTTTTTTATTCTATATTTTTCATAATTTAAGACTTTGAATGAAGTAATTAAAGAAGTAGTTCGTTGACAGTTTGAGAGCGAAATTAACTTATCAATATTTTTCACCAGACATGGGCAAAGTATGGCGCGTGAGCTAAGTGAGGTCCTTCGAGATAGTTAACCCGGTCAGCGACGTGATTTTGAGTAACTTAAAATAAATTACACATAGCACAAAACTTATTTTCTGTTTAGCCAGAATAGAACAATGGTTTCCTTCCCATCGTATTCCAAGTACCTTCGTATTGTAACGAGTCCGTTACTTAAATAACCACTTACCTTTTTGTCACTGGAATCTTTTAATTTAATTATAAATTAAATTCATCTTTGAAATATTCTTAAACCAAAAATTTAAATAACTCCAGTAAATTTTATTTTCGAAAGTTGGCATTAAATCCCGCCCTCTGTCTAAGATTCTGAAAATACATCGTCGTGACAGCCGCCGAAGTACCGGCAGATCGTCACTTGTTGCTGGAATTTCGTCGAGCGAACTTCGTTGTGACCAAGTAGTGCAGCTCGAGGTGCCATTTTCATGAATCTGGGTTAAGTTTATTTTATTTTTTTTACGAAGAAGCAGTTATTTTGGAAGGAAGCCTTTTTGTTACTTTTGTTTTTGGGAAATACTTAAGTTTTGGACCACCTCAGCCGGTAAGATGAATTTATAAATAAATTATATGAAAAAACATGTCAGATCATCCGCCATTGTTGGTAAAATTCAAATCAATTTTAATCCTTTCTCGATAGATATTTCACACATCTTATATATGTCTCATTTTACTTTATTTCATTAATACCTAAATACATTAAGTATTAGATTTTATAATTATTTCAAATTTTATTTCTTTTCAAGGATGAAAACAAACAATTATCTATTTCAATTCCATACCGTTTAAACCGGCTAATATTTCTTTTTTTTCTATTCTATAATATATACAGACCATGCCTTCCGTAAAACATTCTATCTAATATGATCCTATAATATCATTGTCATACTATCCCAAGGTCGTTATTCACTGAAACCCATTAACAGTTTTTATTTCAATTTGTTGACCTTTCTTGGTTTTTTCCTTACTTTTTGTATGAACAAAAGACCTGGAGTAACACAACTGTTCTTTTTAGCCTACTTCCGGGATCCAGTGACAAGTCAGGGAAGAAAAACCTTTTCAGTTTGTTTATGGGGGAATATTTATTGGGACAAGGGGAAGAAAAATTTTTAAGTTTGGGTTAAGAAGAATTTCAAGGACTTAAGTTAAAAGTACCTCTTTTTTTATATATGGTGTCCAGGTTTGGCGTATCACCCACCTGCGACTAGTTCTCCACCGGATCATCTCCAGGGAAACCTACAGAAACCGGCAGGAAGAACTGATTTTTAATTTTTTTTATTTCCTATTCAAATATTTTTAATAACGTTCTACATCCTCTTCAAGGTTTAACTTTTGTTTCACTTTAATTTCAATATATATCATTAATAATAATTACCTTTACTTTTTCATAAAATATTAATCATTGTAACTTAATTTAATTATTTATTGTCTACCAAGGGATGAGGTTTTAACTCTCCCTTGAATCTCTCTTTGTCAGGTTATTGTGTGCACACATATCCGGAGAGTTTCATTTCATTTCAAACTTAAACATTTATTAAACGAAAACTAAACTATTATATTAGTGAGTAGTATTTTATATTTATATTATTATAGATTTCTTTTTATATTATATACTTATCCATTGCATAACCTTAGTCAAAATTTCACATTATCAGGTACATTAGGGGGGAAATTGTTTTATCATTATATTCAGGGTTTTCATTGTAAATATAGATTAGTTAATTGTATATAAGAGGTGTTGGGTTATATTGTTATATATAAGGGTTAAAATAAGTTGTACATAATATAGGTACTTATTAAAGTTGGGTTAAAACAATTTAAAACTTCACTTGGTACCTATCCTTTAATATTTCAGCAATACAAGATATCTCGGAAGAAACCATTTAACTTCCTGGCGCCCAAACATTCAGTAGAGCAACTTTATCTTTCATCTGTTTATTTCTTGGTAGATTTCTTGTCATTAGTTCTTCTATCTTACGGTCGCTGTAGGGCATGCAAATTGGCCTAATCCCTCTTGAGTGTCAAGTGGTCATTCTCCTGCATAGTCGCTAGCCAGCATTAATTTTATTATATTTTAAAAGTCATATTTACCCTTTATTTATTTCTTTCATATAATTTATTTCTATCTAATCCCTTCCATCTTCTGTTATTCCAGATATTAATCCGTTGGTGTATCAAGGTACATTTTAGAGTTTACCCTATTGCTACACTGCACATCTTTACTACCCATTCTCGTTATATTGGCGACTCAGCCAAACCATTTTTGTTACAGTATCTAATACGGACCAAGATTACGCACAATCTTTGGTATCATAGTGCCGTACTAGATGTCTATATTGCTCCCCTAAATTCGGAAATAATTGGGTGTTAGCAGTTTCATTTCGTCGGTTTTCAAAGTCAGTGTAATTCGGACAGTCACTTAATCAGTATACCAAATCACCTCGGTGGCTGTGTTGTTTTTCTATAGTGTTGCTTTGTTGGGAGCTGTTTTTGGTATTTCTTATCGTCACAATGGCAAGTAAAAAGCGCAAAGTTGACTCGTGAAAGAATGTCATGTTTTAAATTATGAGTGGACTTGGATTCACGACTATTAAGGATCAACCTGTGTGCTTTATTTACAATGATGTAGCTTGTTTAAAGCCCTTACCACACTTCATTTCAAAACATAACGGAGGCAAAAAGCGGGAGCTCTATGTAAAAATCTATCAGATCAGCAAAATATTTAAAAAAAAAACATAAATGTTCTTATGATCTAGCTACAAGTGTCAGTTACGTTGTAGCATACAATACTGCAAAAAGAACAAAACTTGTGACAGTTTGTGTCCTAAAAAGAGATTTTGAGTCAGTAAGTTTCTGGAGCAGCGATTCTGCTAAAGGCATGAAACATGTGCTTGACGTTCTTTTTAAGCTTTTTAATAGTATTCATTTACAGGCACTTAATCATAGACAATTTCAAGAGTTTTTTTACCATTGCAGTCTGAAGATTCTAATGTACTATACTACACCAAAGTAAAATGGTTAGATTGGTAAAAATCAGTTAAAACTATTGTAGTTAGGGAAAATAAATTTAAGAGCTAGGATAAAAGCGGGAAATGTCTTCATGAAGAATTTGAACGAGAATTCCAAAACTTAAAGTTATCGAATAGGAGCTAGACATGTTTTTCAACACGTAAATTCCATCAACAAGAGAATTTAATTCACACTGGAATTAAAATCCATCAATAAACCTCCTTTCCTTCCCAACGATTCTCTGGAAAATAAAATATCTTTTCGGCTAACTGAAACTTTTTCAATAAAGTACATCCTTAGGCAAAATGACTACAAATACAACACCATAAAAAAAGCAGAACAACAGCGATGAAAGAGAGCCTGTAGACATAAGTCAACAGGTTTCCTACCATACATCAAGAAAAATAAACATAACTGGACGATACTTATAATGCAAGAAATACAATATAACAAATGCATATCCAAGCACTATAAATAATTGGATCGACGATATGAAATGCAAATGACACATTTCTATTAGAAAATACAGGATCATACGTTATGCACTTCGCCAAATTGGTCAAAAATATATAGGACAAACTAACCGACCAATTTTAAGATTAGACGATCACAAACTAAATCTGAGGAATAAACAAATATCTCCATCTTATTCGCACGTGAACGTAACAGAAAATAGACCTTAACTCTTGCAAATTGATCGCACTGGTTCTACACTACAAAACAAAAACAAGAGAAATCATAGAGAATAGAAGCATAACATGTGACCTCGAAAAAGAAATTTTTGTATCCAAAATTTTGTAGTTTTGCAAAATGTCGGTAAAAAATGTGAGCTCATTACTTCAATTTATTTTAATATAATACGAAACTCGTAGGTTTCTTTTCACCTTTACGAATAGTAGCTAACTTATAAAAAGCATACTATAGCATATTATAGCTACTATAAGGGCCGGTTCTACAATGCTAGTATATACTGAGAATAAAGTTATACTTGGAATAACTTCATTAATGGTGTTCTACAAACAAAGAATAAACTAGGAATAAGATAATCGGAGTATATCTGTAGAATAACTTTATCCCTCCAAAGTTTAGCAGATATACCGAGTATAAATTTATACTGCATTTCTATTGGTCGGTCAGGGGTTGTCAAATCTGTAATATTTTAACGTCACTTTGTTTGTTTTTATATATAAAATAAAATTTTTGATATTGCACAAACATTTTAGATTGTAAATCCAAAGGAAATTTTATTAGGCAATCCAAAGGAAAAAGAAAGCATTTATTATTTCAATTCTAAAATTTTAGGATATGTATGTAATGTAATAACGTCTACACATATGACTAGTATACCTAGTATAGGTATAATCTTACCAAGGCAATATATTTTTTAATGTTTTGATAACAGAGACTGTAATTCTAGAATCTGTATTATATAAACATTTCTTTAACTAAAATTATTTATTTTGTAATCCAATATTTATACTTTTTTAAAATGTGGAGTATACCTATATAGATATATTTACATAATTTTGGTTATTATATTATAACACTAATCTCAGTTGATGATGACAAAAAATTTAAGAAGGAAATTTTACATCTTTTTTTATCCATTTTATATTAATTTTGAAAAGTATAATAATATAAACGTAGATAAAATACCAGATAAAGCGAATCAATTATATTCAATTCCTTTTAATTGTAAACAAATTTTACAGTTATGACAAATGCCAAATGTCGCTGTCAATAACAATTTGAACTAATTTTGAAGACATCAGATCTACTATTTCGTTTTACCTTAGTGTTCTGTGGTTATACCCAGAATAAATATTCCGCTGTCGATTTCACAATGTAGAACGCTCGAAAGGTTATACTTGGAATAAACTCAAGTATAAGTTATACTCAGAATAACTATTCTCTAATTTATACCTGGAATGTAGAACCGGCCCTAAATAGCATACTTATAAAAATTATATCAACTAATTTTTAATATTTTAATTAAACTTTAGTACATAAAATTACTTTTAAAAGAGTTATAGCTAGTGGCGCTTTTAGGTCATGAGTTATCTATTAGTTTTTAAATTTTTGTTAGTCGTTAGTTACATAGTTACATATAAGTATATATATATATATATATATATATATATATATATATATATATATATATATCATCTCTATTATATATATTTTTCCATTATCATTAGGTCATCGAAGAATATCATAAATTCGCGATTTTAGATTGGTCCTTCGAGCGGATTAATGAGCCATAGGCCAAATAAAATCACTTCTTCAATTTATAGTCGCTTGCAATTTTTGAAATGAAATGCTGTGACTTAGTTATGAAATTATATTTATTAAGCTACGAATTCGATTCTCAGCGTCAACAATGGTATTTTCATCTCTAAAAATTATAACGCGCCGCCTCTGTATTTCGTAGGGTACGTAAAGCTATCGGTCCGAAAGCTATCTCCCGGCAAATCTTACATACGATATTAGTTACAAATAAAGCTTCATAACTATCTGCGATTTTTCCATCAAAATTATATCACCGAAGAACATCATTCTTTAATCTAGTCCTTTAACAAATAGTTTCTACATTCTATTTGGTATCTAATAGAGAGTAAGATCCTCAGATCTTTTCCTCTATTATAAGCTAAATTCTACAGTAAATTTCATACATACAATGGCTGCCGTTCACCGGAATTAATCCGTTTACGCTTGGTGTACTAAGCGCTTATTTAGTGCTTGTTGGTTTGGTGAACGACGTTTTTTTCCAGATGTTATATTTTTAAATTTTAAATACAATTGTAAGCCACAAGGCCAGTGACCAACAATTAAAGCGCCTAGATTAAAAAAAAACAGTGACAGAAACTTTACAATTTTTTCAAATCACGTTTGGTTCCAATATTAAGAATGAAAAATGATTTCCTTATTTAAATCTTTTGCATCGTTCATTTTTAAAACTGTAAATTCAATCGTATAAATCGTTCAACATTTTAAGATCACTGATTATTTTTTTAAATTATTTTTTAATTTAAATTTTAAATACAATTGTAAGCCACAAGGCCAGTGACCAACAATTAAAGCGCCTAGATTAAAAAAAAACAGTGACAGAAACTTTACAATTTTTTCAAATCACGTTTGGTTCCAATATTAAGAATGAAAAATGATTTCCTTATTTAAATCTTTTGCATCGTTCATTTTTAAAACTGTAAATTCAATCGTATAAATCGTTCAACATTTTAAGATCACTGATTATTTTTTTAAATTATTTTTAGCACGTGGAATGTGTTCTTCTTCCGAATCCACTTCACGTGTTTGAAATGATCATCACACCCGAGTTAGAATATCCAATCGTTTGTGTAGCGATTAGGCAAGCGTACCAACCTAACCGATTCAAGCTGGACTTGATCAATATGAATTCTGGTAAGTATCTAGATAGGCAAATACATAGGGATAAAACACTGAAGTACCTTTAGATTCACTCTGTGTATAGCTTGTCTCAAAATATTTCGTCTTAGATTTTCCCTCGGTAAAGGATTAGTGCTATTATGGCCATTGTCATCAATGGAATAACGAAACTTATTGGTTCCTAGTGACAAAACATCAGAGGCAGACTCCAGTTAAAAATAATACTACAGCGATTTTATTTCAAGACCTCCATTTGATTCTAAAAAAATGTTTTGTTGTCTAATTTGATCACTACATAAATCATATAATAATAATATAAACCTTAATAAATATTATTCCATGTCTAATTCTGGTTCACTGTCAGAGTCCTCATTTGGATTCATTACAATGGGTTGTATATTATAACTTTACGATAGGACTGTTCAACTTTGACAATATGTTCTGAAATCTGTATGATTCCATCACTACTGCTTTTTTGCCTAATTTACGATACTAATTTTTTAATTACTGTTAAACTGGGAATAAGCCGCAATTAAAGATAAAAATACGTTTATTGACGTTTCAATTTCCACTTCGGAAATCGTTCTCAAAATACAAACAGTAAATTTACTGTTTGTATTTTGAGAACGATTTCCGAAGTGGAACTTGAAACGTCAATACACGTATTTTTATCTTTAATTGTGGCTTATTCAGACATAGACATATTTAAAAAATTAGTATTGTTCTGAAGCTATTTTCTTGTGGCATTGTAAATTAATTACTATTAAACTTATTCCCAGTTTAATAGTAATTAATTTACAATGCCACAAGAAAATAGCTTCAGAACAATTCTAATTTTTTAAATATGTCTTTCATAGCCTGATTGAACAATTTTGGCGATATTGTGTCTCCCTGCCTGATTCCTCTTTCGAATTTTATTGGTTCTGTAGCGTGTTCGTTCGTCAATTTTATTGTGGTACTGGAATTTTTGTATATGTTTGTTATTAGGTCCGTGTACCTGTAATCAATTCTGCCGTTCTGTAGTGAGTTTTTGATGGCCCAATGTTCTATGCTGTCAAACGCCTTTCGGAAGTCTATGAATGCCAGGTATAATGGGATTTGATACTCGTTCGACTTTTCAATCAGTATTTTTACTGTTAGCAGATGGTCGCTAGTACTAAAACCCTTTCTGAATCCCGCTTGTTCTCTTGCTTGGTATTCGTCAAGCTTAGTTGTTAGTCTATTTGTCATGATCTTCGTTAGTAGTTTAAATACAACACTTAGTAATGTTATAGGTCTATAGTTTTCTAAGTTCTTTCGGTTACCTTTTTGAACATTAATAGTGTCTCCGCATCGTTTCAGCTATCGGGTATTTCTTTTGTGGTAAATATTTTGTTCATGAGGATATATAGGACTTCACAACAGGCAGCGACCACCGAATGGTGAAGGCTAAGATACAAATTAACAGCCAATTTGAAACCAGAAAGAAAATCAAAAACATACAAAAACTAGATATGGAGAAACTTAGCCAAAACGAAGAAAAGTACAAAGAAGAAATAAAAAAATGCATCCCAAATACAACCGACTTAATAAATAAAGCACTTAGTAATGCTATAGGTCTATAGTTTTCTAAGTTCTTTCGGTCACCTTTTTTGAACATTAATAGTGTCTCCGCATCGTTCCAGCTATCGGGTATTTCTTTTGTGGTCAATATTTTGTTCATGAGGATATGTAGGACTTCACAACAGGCAACGACCACCGAATGGTGAAGGCTAAGATACAAATTAACAGCCAATTTGAAACCAGAAAGAAAATCAAAAACGTACAAAAACTAGATATGGAGAAACTTAGCCAAAACGAAGAAAAGTACAAAGAAGAAATAAAAAAATGCATCCCAAATACAACCGACTTAATAAATAAAGAAACAAACGAAATAAATGAAATACTAACAACTACATTGCTACAGGCCGGGGAAAAAATTGCAAAATCGACGACGAAAAAGGACAATTAAATCTCAGAAGAAGTAGAAAACCTGATGAAGACAAGAAGAAGCCTACTTGAATAGGGCAAAAGAAACACAGTAGAATATACTGAAATCAATAAAACAATTAGCAAAAACTTAAAAGAAACCAAGAGAAAAACGCAGGAAGCAAAGATTGAAAGAGTAATCCAGCAGAACAAAAATATAAAATGCTTAAAACAACGACTCGGTAAAACTTAGATAAATGAAATGACAAACAGCGAAGGAACAACCATTAATGATATGAAACAAATAATAAAGTTGATACAAGAATGCTATACGCACCTATACAGAACAAGACATAAACCACAGCAAGAAATTCTTAAACAATTAAACACAAAAATAAAAAATATAAACTTTGACCTACAACCAGAAATAAGTAAAACAGAAATCAAGAAAGCAATTCAAGAATTAAAAAACGATAGGTCACTAGGTGGCAAGTAGCTCTTAAAACTCCAACTCCAGAAATATGGGCCAAAACTGTAAATTAAAGTGAAAAATTAATAGAAGGGTGGTGGGTCCGGGAAAATAAAATTAGTGAAATTAATCCAGTGATTATAGATTTACATATTGATAGCGGTAGTGAATTTAGTGACATTGATGATGATTTATAAATTTAAATAATCAGTAAGTACACTATTATATTTACAAAATAAATGTAGAGCAGGTTAACCATTATATTTATACATTCATTATTAGCCAAATAAACAATAATTTTTAATATTCCATTTGAATTTTGGTTCCTCATTTTATACAAATTAACTCCTAACTAATAATACAGACAAAAATATTCTAAACAAAGTAAGTAATTAAAATATTATGGAGAACTCCAGTGCAGTTTTCCGTGCCTTTTACTACAACGGAAGGTTTTCTGCGAATTCCGTTAATCGTTTAGAGGTGTAAGTTGGTTGAATGTACTGTATTAATAATGGCAATAATACCACTAGTCCTTTAACGACGAGAAAGCCAAGACGATATATTTTGAGACAAGCTATACCTCTGTGAATATTTAACAGCAGTGTATACAATGGTACATTCACAGGTCATTAAGCAACTTTAGAAATTGGTTAATAAGATCTTAGCTTAATCAACCTTACAAATTTAAAAAATTATCATCAATGAAAAAGTAAAGCTAAAACACATTGTGGAAGAACCATAAAATTGTAGCTAAGGAAGTATAATAAATATAAATATTCACTTATTAAACCTTCAAAGTAATTTTAAAAATAAGAACAATAAAAAAATATACTGTTCTTTAAAATTCTGTATCTTTAACAATCATCAATATTAATTATTCTTAATAATTTTTTTTAACTTTGGTAATATTTAGTAAGTACTCATTAGAAAATTATTTTTAAAATATACTTATATTTATAAAATATACACGGCCGTCTCAAGCTGTTAAAAAAATGTGCGCATATATCTTTTCTCAACGGGCACGCTGAGCCAAAGAACGTTGCTATTGTAATAGATATTGCATGATATATTCTGTACTCTTTCCATAATTTATATTAACCTAATTTCAACATTAACATACAGAAGAAACTTTGTACTCAAGTTATAAGTACTTAGCAATTTTAATTTTTAGATGCCCGGTTTCCGTTGATAAAGAAAAAACCAAAATCGCATGCTGTATTCGTAGCAAACATATGTATGTGGTGAGCCTGAGCTTGAGAATGTTAAGGCATTGATTTGAGCTTGTTTTCCTTCGCTATTTGACAGATTAGTGACAGTCAGTAACTAGCGCCGCAACTAACCCATTGTTTTGTTTTTGAATCCGTGTTTGAAATTTTAAAGCTTTAGGTTTTTATCTAGTTGTCCATTTGATGGAGTGGTTTGATAATTTTTTTTATATCTGTGTACAATTGTTGATGGAGAGTAGTTTACTACAACCTTGGTTACTCATAGGTAAGTGTGTCTGTCTGTGGTGCTGAATGAGGTGGCTTTGATTCCCAGTACAAATAGAAAAATACACCAAAGAAACCAAAAAAGTATTGGCAAAGTCACCTACCTAACGGCAACTGCAAACCACTGAGTAGAAATTTGCCTAGAACAACTCTATATTGAGTCGTTCGAAATCGACATTAAATATCTGACTGAATATAATTTTGACGTAATTTTATTTTATTTCATTTTATTCGGATTCATTTTATTACATTTTAGTTATTTTATTTCACTCTATTTTATTCTAAATTATTTTATATTATTTTTATTTTATTTCATTTTATTGATTTATTGATCAACAGGAAAATGTTGTCGAAAATAGCCCGTAGATTACTCTACTTTGGAGCTAATATTAATAGTAAGACCACTTGCAGTAACTCTAGATGATGTTTCCTTATAAATTGTACTGAACTTAAACTGTACTCAACTTTGGTATCAAACACTGAAGCTAATTTATAATGTATATTAGATCTACTCGGGTGTTAGATCAAATTACTTAAACTACAATAGAAATGTCTATATATACACTCAAAAGTTCCCAGAGAAAGAAATACGTCCAAACTCTTAGACGACGCAACCAAAAGTCAGTATAATCTCTTAGACTACCCAACGAAAAGTGGTCCTCTCTTTTCAAATTGGACAAATTATCCCATAGAACAGGATCATCCCCACCTAAAGAATTTCCCTTTTAAAAAGAACCGATTTATTTTCATTTTCGTCGTAAACACATAAACAAAACGGTGTTTTTTAAAAAATGGAAGCAAAAAGGCAAATAACTGTACCATATTGAGGAAAAGATTCTCTTTGAATTAAAGCTATTTGTAAGAAGTTTAAAATTTTATTACTCTCTTCCTAGCGCTATAAGAGACCTAAATGTTCTTTGTTCTCAAAAAAAATGACGATTCCTCTCAAATTTCTAATAAAGCAGCTATCAAGTAATCTGCATGTTTCGGTACTTCTTTTAAGACATAAACAAGCTGAAAGATATCGAAGAATTAGGTTTACAGATTACAATAATACAGATACAATAATAAGAACTATATAAAATATGAGATTTTTGTATACGGCCATTGGTGTAGCTGCAGTAATTGCAGAAGGTTTTTAAAAATAATCTTAAAGTAATATATAATAAAAAATAATAAAAAAAGAGGTTAGTCTTCGTAAATGGGTATATTTATTTAAAAAAATATACTATTTTTTTGTGATACGTGGTATATAGCCAGCTACAGGAATTGTTTTCCTTGTGGATTTTAATATATAATAAGAAGAGAAATGATACGATTTCTACCTGGCGAAATCGAATTAAAATTTTTACCACTGTGCTTTCTAAAACTTGCAAAGCAAACAGCTTGATAAATTACTCGGCAAGGGAATCTAAAATTACATTCCACATGCCGTTCATCAAAATTCGTAGTGAATTTTGTAATTTTTATTTTTCTGTACCAGAAATTTTAATTTCTGGTAAAGTTGTTACGATATGAATTGGGAAAGAACAATTTTTGGGGTCCGGTCAGTAATTCTACGGCGAACATAGAAATAAAGATAAATCTTTGTAATTCTAATTATTGATTACTCCTGGTATTAGTCCACATGGATAGTGGTGTGGCTTATTAATTTGAACGTATCTTATTGGGTAATACTGAAATGTAATTGGTCAAATTTTTCGACAGTGCATACACTATAACCAAATCTGGCTTTGCCGTTAGCAGGTAAAAATTGTTTCTCATGTTTCAAAGGCGGCAAGCATTTAAATAAACACAATAACAGTGTCGTCGTCATAAATTAATTTTATTTTAAACTTATTATATAAATTATTTTATTTTTATAGCAAAATTGTAAACTCATTTTTTAGTTCTCAAATTAATAAGCACATTAGATTTCATTTGCGTTATGTATGTATATACTTTTAATCATCAATTTTAAATTTCAATAAAAGTTAAGGAATTTTTAGGGTCCAGTCCCCAATAATTCAGAAATTAAACATTATTTGTAATTGATCACTAACGGTATTGTCCATATTGCAGCTGTGGTTTATAACTTTCTACGTATCTTATCGGGCACTACTGAAGTGTAATTAGTCAAATTCTTCGGAAGTTATTACGCTCAAACTTGATCGTTATCTGGTCAAAAATGCCTTCTCAGGTTTCTCATACTAAACGATATATTCAGTATCGTCGTGTACGACAGCAAGTTCACGTATATTTTTAATATTTTTGTGCAAACAGTAGTGTTGTGTTTTAGTTAAGTTTGAGTTAAGACAGTAGAAAATAAGTTGTGAACACATTAAAGAATATCGAGATGACAATAGAGACATTGTGTATCTTGATGAAACGTGGTTTGACACCCATGATGTAGTTCAATATGGCTGGATGGATGATAGCAAAAAGTGCTGCTTGAATACTCCTTGTTCGAGAGGAAAAAGAATTATAATTCTACATGCTGGAACTAAGAGCGGGTTTGTACCTAATGCCTTGTTATTATCGGCCAAAAACATTAAACAGTGTCATCAGCTGATTATCATGAGGATATGACGGCTGAACTTTTCGAAAAATTGGCAACGGAACAGCTGTTACCGAATATTAAAACAAATTCCGTGATAGTAATGGATAATGCGTCATACCATTCTAGACTATACACCAAAATTCCAAATACTAGCTCCAAGAAGGAAGATATCATAGAATTTATGGAGAAAAAATGCATGGCAACACCTAGTAAATGTACCAAAAAGGAATTGTTGCAATTAATTAAGCAACAAAATTTTCAAAAAGAATATGTAATAGATAAACTCTTTGAACGCCACGGGCATACGGTTTTTCGGCTCCCTCCATATCATTGTGTTTTCAACCCAATTGAAATGATATGGGCCAATGTAAAAAAGAAATTGCGGAAAATGAATCAATCTCCCCAATTAAGTGACGTTGTTGTCCAAAATATAAGAACAGTGATCGAAGAACTTAACAAAACTGACATTTGGAAAAATTGTGTAGCGCATGTTCAAGTAAAAGAAAAAGAATATCCTACTTTACCACCAATTGAACCGGTAGTTATAAACACAAACGGCGACTCAAGTTCTGGACACAGGGATAGTGATAGTGTTTAATTGTTTGAATATTTCTACAAAGACTTCCACAACTTGTCAAAAATATGTTCTGTATATCGAAGTAAATGTGATCTCTCGATTAATCTATAACCTAAGAGACAATTCGACTGTAAGACGAATTGGCCGATTTCATGTAAGTATCTTTCAAAAATAAGCTCTTTAAACCGATGAAACTTACAGATCATATTCATGATTATTTTTTACCAAAAAAAGGGATCAACTTTGTTTTGAGCGTAACTTGCTTACGTTTGATGCTAGAAACTTTTTTAAAAATCAAAAATAAAGATTTCTCTAAACAATTAAAAAAAAAGTAAAAAAATATATTTTTTTTATTATTTCACGTTGAATTATTCGATATGGAATTTGACGAATAGGTAAGAATCTATTTTTCATTAGCTATAACTCTGCTTCTGCTGGGTATACAGACTTCATACATATACTATTGTTTTCACTTTTTTATAAACTGTATTTTTGCTACCAACATTTTTTCCATAAAATACTTACCTTTTGAGTTATTTGCGAGAAATCGTCCAAAAACGTGGTGTTTTTGATGAAAAATGAATATATTCACTCGCAAATAACTCGAAAAGTATTGATTTAGTAAAAACCTCTATAGAACAAAAGTTACCTAGAATTAGTCAGTTTATCCACTTCCGGACTTATTTTGGATGTATATCTTTTCACCCCCCAAGAAGGTGCGGTACTCACCCCCAGGGCAAAAATACACATCGGCACAATATCACTTTTTTTCCTTGACACGTTAGCTATATGTGTATGACAAATTTCATATCAATCCCAGTGGTTCTTTAAAATTTAGAGGTTTTTACAATATTTTACCGTTAGTGAATGGACTATATTGTGTATTAACTTTTAATCATCTTTGGTGTCAAGTTCCTAAAGAAATATGAATAATTAACAATATTATTACTGTTTAACAAAATATTAGACCTTAATTTAAAAATAAAAGTTTATTATTTAATTGCTATTGCGCCGCCTATGTTTTACAAAGAGGCCGACACTTGAGTGTCGAATTTTGTTTTTATGACTTGTCCAACTGACATCGTAGAAACTATACTCCAAACGGAGTAAAGAAATAAAACATAATGACGGTACTAGATTTTTGTTTCGATACAGAGCAGAGCAGCGATAAGTCACTTATATAAATTTCGACCTCTTTAGGTCTCCTCAGGGCGGTATAGCCACTACCCTATAGGTAGTGCTATATCGTTGCTCGTATCGAAACAAAAATCTAGTACCGTCATTATGTAATATATAATAATTAGTTACTAATCTATTTATAAAAAAAATGTTACACGTTTGATTTGCGACAAGTCTTTGCGAATATCGTGACATTTGCAAAGTATTATTCAACTAATCAGTTATTGCAGTTTTAATATAAGGTTAAAACTCCACTATGTGTTTCAGGTGCTAGTTGGTTCCATTCTGACGAACTCCAAGACATGGATGGTACGGCGACTGTCATTCCCCGACGGGAAAATTTGGATATAGTGAACGTTTCCCAGTTAGATAAAGATTCGATTTTAGTTTGTTACGAAAACGTTATTAGGATAGTAAATATGCAAGGGAAGATGAAAGTGAACAAAAAACAGGTTTCCGAGCTCAGGTTTGGATTTAGAATTGATAGTATAAGTAAGTATGTTTAACTTTTATAATATTATTGGTTAGGTTAGGTGGTTATACCTTGTTAAGTTTCTTATTTCTAAAATTGTATTCAATATCAGAAGTTTCTCAGTTTTCGAACAACTTTGACGTGTTTTCTGCCAATAAAATATTATTCAGAAGTGCTAAGAAACTCGTAATAAACCTTGTGGAATTGTGTAGGACTTTCAGGAAAACAAGAGTCCTAACCATTCCAGCTGATGCAATCTGTTTTCTATAAAGCAAATCAACAGATTGCCTGGTCATTTAGGTTATATAAGATTTTAAGTGGAGAATATCTTTTATCTTGTCTTATAGATTTTTACTAAATGGTTTTTTTTGCCTATTTTGTGTGAATATGCGTTTGAGTAGGTAGTCACTATTTGCTCAGTTACAAAATATGTTATATGGTCATTTGTTGGATTTCCAAGCCAAGATAATTTTGCAATAATTGCATCATCATGACAAAACACTCATCACCCAGCCCTTTGCGTCCACTGCTGGACATAGGCCTCCCTCATTTTTGTCCATTGTGCTCTATCTTGAGCACTTTTTATCTAATTGCTTGACATTTTCTTGAGATCGTCAGTCCAACGAGTAGGGGGTCTTCCTCTACTTCTTTTGTCTAACCTCGGCCTCCACGCAAACAATCTCTTCGTTCACCTTTCATCACTAATTCGAGCGACGTGTCCGGTCCAGTTCCGTTTCAGTGTGGCAATTCGGGAAATTACATCGGTAACTTCTATTCTTCGTCTTAAGTATTCATTTCTAACTCGGTCACGAAGCGATATACTCAACATTGACCTTTCCACTTTGTTCTGAGCTATTTGCAGCGGTTTAGAAGTTGTAACTGTCAATGTCAAAGTTTCGACACCATAGGTCATCACAGGCAACACACATTGGTCAAATGTTTTACGTTTTAAAGAAATTGGTATCTCGTTTTTAAAGATCTCTTTGAGTTTTCCATAGGCTGCCCATGCTAGGTTTATTCTTCTTCGTAGTTCGTATGTTTGGTTGTTTCTTGTGATCTTTGTTTCGTGTCCAAGATATATGTATTTTTCCATCATCTCTACTTCGTTGTCTCCAATATTGATATTTCCGCTAGGTACTAGGTTTGTCATGAATTTTGTTTGGAGATGTTTATTTTAAGACCCACACTGGTACACACTAACTGAAGTTCATGTAGTATGTGTACATATCTCCTTGAGATTGTCCGAGAACAAAACTATGTTCTACCCTCTTCTACTTCTACTACTTCTACCGTCAATGCTCAGGCCGTTCTCTTCCCAGTTAAGTTTTTTACAAACATATTATAGTACTGCTATAAACAGTTTAGGCTATAAGGTATCACCTTTTCGGACTCCTCTGCCGATTGGAATATGATCCTTGTTTTTATGTAGTTTCACCGACATAGTTGCGTTGTTGTGTATATTGTATATTAACCTTGTATATGGATAATCTTCGCCAAGAGATTTGTTATCCTTAGCTTTTCGTAGGACTAGGCTGTAGAAGTCTTCAACTGTTTCAAGGGTTTCATTTCTGTTGCTTGTAAGATGACCATTACTATCTTTATTCTCCTTCAATTTGTTCTTGGTTGTATTTTCGAATGTCTTGTCTAACAGCTTTGGATATTTTCTTATTTAATAGAGTTCAAGTAGCAGTGCTCAAAACTATCTACATCTGATGGTTTCATCCATTGTTTTGATTTGTTCTTCTTTTTATTCATCTGATACCTCTCCTTCTTTAATCACTAATTTTATATATATCAGCGCCATCTACGTGAAAAAAGAACAACCTTTATCACAACCTCATACACAGATTAAAATAAAGAATCGTATAATATAAATTACGATTTAACAGAATCTTTACTCCAATGACATTAATGCCTATTTTTTAGTATGTCTTCCGGATAGTGTGCTGGCGTTTCACAAACACGGAATGCAAGGAAGATCATTAAAGAATGGCGAAGTTACACAAGAAATCACCGACACAGCACGAACGTATAAACTTTTAGGTTCAGATAAGTAAGTACAACCATTTGTTATTTATGGTATATTTTTAATACAAATTGTTATTAAAGTCAATAAATTTTAATTAGCTACTTTTAATGATTATATCACGCTTCCTTGGAGGTCTGTCTAAAGATTAACATAAGCAAGGCGCAAATAATGACAATTCTGGTGCTAAAAATTAATGTTGCTGTTGATGGAACAACATGGACTGCGTCATTTCGGTCATGAAATTCGGTTGGGCAGAAATAACCAGACATATGAGCTCACACGTTAAATATGAGTAACCTGGGCAGCATTTGGTAAATTCAATATGTATTTAAATTGGACCTTTCCATATGACTTAAAAGGAAACTCTTTAACAAGCGTGTGTTACCTGCACTCAATTACGAAGAGGAAACATTATCACACAAAAAAGAGCTATGAAGCGCCAGATGTTGGGTATCTCTCTAAGAGACCGAATCCCAAACGAAGAAATACGTTGTGGAACAAAAACAACAGACGCTGTCGAAAAAATCACGTCGCTACAATGGAATTAGGCAGGACATGTCGCCAGATTATTTAACAACAGATGGACAAAACGTATTGTCGAGTGGTGGTCAATACGAGAAGCACTACGAAGCAGAGGCCGCCCACCGTTGGTGGGCGGCCTCTAAAATTGATAACCTGAAGCGTGTTAGCAGTAACTGTGCGTATGTCCAGCAGGTTGCGTGTACAGGTTGATGATGATGATGACTATATGAGCGTCCATGTTCGTATGGTTGTGGGTTTTGGTACAACTATCTCTGCAAATAACTTCCAAGTAACTTTTATTGATCAAATAATGTTTGCTTAAGATTACTCGTTGTGAAAAGAAATGGACGTGTCTTCAAGTAAAACACATCCAACATACAGCTGTTGCAGAACAGTTAGAGGAAGAAATTAATAAGGAATTGGAAAGAGCAATTACTAATAATCTAGAAGAATGGAGGCATATTTAAACAGTTACGTTCGAAGCGACAGACAGCATTGGGAAAGCAGGCATTAAGAAAAGGATACTGGTTTCATTAAGACTAAAAAACGTGCCCTAAATCAGAGAAACAACTTGGAAATAACAGAGACAAAAAATAGACTATGATGGTAAATGGTTGACGTGGGGTATGTACCATTTCTGAGCCCTTTAGCTGCTCTGAAACAGACTTGACCTCTTAGGGCGTGTCGATATCATCTAGACTCAATCTCCAGCACGTATGGAGGACTATCTTGAATCTCCTATTTAAAGATTGGGATAGCCTGACTCCATCTCACTATTCGAGGCATCTAGTTCCTTTAAAGACTTGTGTTATAAGAAGATACAAGCTCTTTAAATGGCATATTAAGTTAATTAGAAGTTCTGTGAGACTTGGAAATCCTCACTACATGGAGTCTAATCTGTCTCATATCTTCAACACTAGCCTAAGGCCCGGCGCAAATTGAGCACAGCCCACGCACATCCCAAGCGCAGCACACGCGTGAGTTATTTTGTAAAACGTGGTTTTAGACGGAGCGACGCATATTAAACCCAAACCACGGCCAGGCTAATGCCAGACTTGGTTGGCGTGGATAGAGTTGTGCTAGCAACACAGTTTCGTGGGTCGTGGGTCTCTACCTAACCTTAGTTATGATGTCATTGTCTGTACTGAACGAAGAGTTCCCAAACGTAAAAAAATAAAATCGGTAGAATTCTTTTTAAAAATCGGTAGATTGTGGAGTAGAATCGGTAGATCTTTCAAAATAATATATTTTGTTTAAATTTCATAATGTTTTGCAATTCGTTTATTTAAGAAAAAAAAAATATGTTTTAAAAACGTGTAAAAAAAACTGACAAATTTAAATCCTTAAATGAGTCTGTGACTAGGAATCGAATACTTATCCGAGAACCGAAACCTCGAGTATAAAACCCTTTTACAAGGAAATATTATACAACAAACAGACTACCGAGTTTTTAGAGTTTTTACGTGAAGTGCACTCGGAAGCTTATATTAATTATGCGTTGTTCCGGTTTTTAGTTTCCTAACTTGACAAATTCCCAGAACCAAGCGGTCGGGATCACAACGGATTTGGATTCATTTATTATTTTATTATTAGCTTTTATGAGATCATGTACTTTGTAAAGTACCGCTTAAGTATCATTTAAGAATAAATACAGCGAACACTGCGAAGAATACAAATATTTGACATGGGCGTGGGCTGTGTTCAATATGCGTTATTATTGAAAAACGTGTACTTGGACTAGGTTGGACCATACGTGGGCTGCGCGTGGGATGTGCGGATGTGCATGGGCTGTGGTCAATTTGCGGCGGGCCTATGAGTCCTAGAACCTCCAGAAGAGAAGCTCCTTGAGACTACCTTGTCTAGCACAAAATTAGGCATGCCATTCACATGTTCGAGTTCTAGAAGCTAAGTGGACGAACCGCATCTTGCAAGGAGATTGGCTCGTTCTATAACTCGCATTATCCCTAATGAGTTGACCATGTTAATCAACGCAGCAGTACATAGAGTCTTTTTGCATTCTAAAACTAGCTTTTAGTGCCTTTAGAGCTATCTGGCTGTCAGATTATATAGCGATGTTCCTGCTAAATCAAGTTCTGTAAAGCCACTCGCCTACCCGCCCTTTCAAACTGAAACTATTTGTAAATCTGTAAAAGTATTCACTGAGAATCTTGCTTTTTAAAGCAAAATTGACCCGTCTTTTACGATTTTTCATATTAATTATAGGAATGAAGATATTAACCCCTGTATTTTCGTTTTTAGGGTCGTCATGTTAGAAAGTAATCTACTTAGGACTGGTACACTAACAAACGAAGAAGGTCACGACTTATATATCTTAGCAGGACATGAAGCCAGTTATTAATAAGAAGAGTGAGTATGTATAGACAACATTTATTACTAGGACCTATCCTAGAAAATTTGATTTCACGCGATTAATCGTTTTTTCATTTAATTCTACATAACTTATGGATTTTATGTCTTTCTTCAACGAAGCAAGAAAGACATAAAATACATAATTCGTTCTTAAGTTTTTAGAAACACTGTTTTTAGAAATGTGTTTTATTAAAACTTCACAGAATACCTTGAATAAAAGAGTGAACATCCTTCTTTCAATGTTTGTGGTATCCTTTCTCCATTTAAAAATCTGTTAAATAATCTATCTATCTCATTAGCCTTCTTGGGTCCATCTTTGGACATAGGCCTCCCCAATCCTTTTCCATTCTTCTCTGTCTGTCGCTACAGTCATCCACCTAGAGCTCACGTGATTCTTGATATCATCTGCCCATCTTGGGGCCTGCCTCTGCTTCGTTTATATTTCCACAGTCTTCAACTTATAAGAATTTTGTTCCTTCGGTCTTCTTTTTGTCTTATATTGTGACCGGCAAATCTCCATTTCAATTTTGCAACTTCTTGTCTAACATCCCTCACTTTTGTTTTCTCTCTTATCCACTCGTTTCTCTTTTTATCCATTAGTCGTATGTGCAACATTTGTCTTTCCATTGCTCTTTGGGTTTTTATGATTTTTCCATGTTTGCTTTTGTAAATGTCCACGTTTGGGAATAATAAGTGAGAACAGGGAGTACGCATTGATTGTATATTTTGGTCTTAAAATTCTGTGGATATCTTTTGTTTTTAAGAATGTAGCTTAGTTTGCCAAATGCCGCCTATGCCAGTCTAACTCGTCTTTTTATCTCTTCTGTTTGGTTTTCTTTGTTAACTTTTATAGTTTGGTCCAGATATATATAATCCTGAACTTGTTCTATTTCATCTTATCCGATCCTCATTGTGATATTAAGGCATTCATCTTATCCGATCCTCATTGTGATATTAAGGAATTCATATTAAGGCCTATCTCTCCAGCTTCTACGTCCAGTTCTTTCATCATTTCAAACAATTCTTCTTTTTTGTCGGTTATCAATACGATGCCATCAGCGTACCTTAGATGGTTCAAGCGTTATCCACGAATTTTTATACCTTTTTCTTCCCATTCTAATCTTTTAAAAATATCTTCCAGGGTCTGATGGAAAAGTTTCGGTGATATTGTGTCATCCTGTCTCACCTCTCTATTTATTTGTATTGATTTTGTTCCTTCATATACTTTAATTGTTGTTCCATATATCTGTGGTCAATTCTGCTGTTAATCAAAGAACTTTTCACTGCCCAATGTTCGACACTGTTGAAAGCCTTTTCGGAATCTGAACGCTATATATAGAGGAATGTGGTATTCATTTGCTCCTTCTATAAGTATTTTCATAATTAGTAAATGGTCACTTGTGCTGAATCTCTTTCTAAAACCAGCTTGTTCTTTCATCTGGTATCCGTCGAATTTTGTCGTCAATTGATTAAAATTTTTGTTAGGAGTTTATACATTACATTGAGGAGTGTTATAGGAAGGTAGTTTTTTATATCTGCTTTATCCCCATTCTTGTGTTGGATAATGGTTACGGATTCCTTCCAGTTGTTTGGGATTCTTTTTTCTTTTAATATCTTGTTAAAAAGGGAATGTAGAGTATTAGTTACCACTGTTCCACCGTACCTCAGCACCTCTGCAGTTATTCCATCTTTTCTAGGCGATGTGTTGTTTTTCATTTCTTTCAATGCCTTCTTTATTTCTGATTTGCTTATTTCTGGCTGTAGGTCTGAGATTCTTTTTTTTCTATTTCTTTTCCTGGTGTCATTAATCATCGTTGCTGTAAGTATGTTGTCTATTTCGTCTATATCTTTATCATCACTATCTAATTTTTTGGTAAGTTGTTCTTTTAATAGGTCTTTGTATATCTCTTTATATTGCCCTAGTTTGTTTCTATCTACTAGATTTCAGTTTCTACTTATTTTTCTTTTCATCTCATAGTTACCGTCAATACTAATTATTGCTCTAACCATCCTGTGATCGCTATCTGTTGTGAATCTGTTAAGAACTGTTACATCTTTAATGATATATCGTTCTGTGGACAGTATGTAGTCGATCTCATTTTTCGTGGATCCATTAGGGCTGATCCATGTCAATTTTCGTTGGGGCTTTTTTTTGTAAAAGGAGTTCATTGCGTATAGATGTTTTTCTTCTAGGTAGTTCATCAAAGTAGCACCTCTATCATTTCTCTGACCATACCCGAAATCTCCTATTTTAATTTCTTCTTTGTTTAGTTTTCTACCCAGTTTGGCATTGAAATTTACAATTACTAGTGTAAAACGATTTTTATGTTCTTCCATAGCCTTTGATATATCTTTATAAAATAGTTCGATATCTTCGTCATCATAAGATGTCGTGGGGACATATACCTAGATAATTTTAATTGATGTTCCTGTCTCAGGACTAGCAACTTCACGTGGAGTCATATGTCGCCATGTTACCAAATCTACTGGTAACGTTAACATCATAATAATTAATAACACAGAATGTAAACTAAATGTAAACTAACAATTTTTAACGGGTTTTTACCCACATATTTAGTGGCACATACATGTATACCTAGACACTGATGATGGAATATGGATTCCGAAAACGTTTTCTGATATAGCCCGATTGGATTTTTAAATTATATACCTTTTATAAAGGATTTTTAATATTTTTTTTTAATAAATATTTTTATTTCTAACCACTACATCATGATACTTATATATTTTCTTTTTTAGACAAGCTCATCGTAAATCCAAGGTTTCTGCTTTGCTTAAGAAGTTAGACTAATCAAAACACTTAACTTATTATTAGAATAGATTCTAGTTAAGTCGGAAAAGAATACAGAAATCGTGATGTTTTAGAAAAATTGGAAGACGGAATTTAAAAAAAAAATGAGAGATTATAGAGATTTTTTTCTCGTAAGAATATATACCTCAATTTTACTTCTCTTCTTAGAGAACGTAGAAGATCTAATTGGTATTTGAATATTTTTAAATACCACTAATTTTAGAAACAGTACCTACAATTGAAATATATAATACAATAATTATATTTTCGTGATTAAAATTGAAATATATTCTATTTGAAATTTAAAAAGAGTAATTTTTCACCATAGAGATTTAGGAATTTTGTAGTATTTCGTTTTTAGACCATTGTTCGGCTTTTCGATGGAAGTTCATTTTAAAACATTTTCTTTTAAATTTTTTAAAGTTAAAGTTTTTTATCACGAATTGTTTTTTAATAGAAATATCAACAAATATGTCTTTGTTGTATTTTTTCTGACATTTGATTTGGACATTGAAAAGTTGTGAAGAAATAGTGATGTAATCTGTGAAATCTAACCTGTAACACCGATTCTTTAAATGATTACGGCCTGGATAGAATGTGATCGAAGGACCATGAGAATAATAATTTTGAAGTAATTATTTTTGTTCGTCAACAGTTTATATACCTAAAACATTTATTTTCATTTCTTTTTTAATACCTTTTATTATTTTACATTAAAATTCTGACTTCTTCAATGTCGCTACTTTGCACAGTTCTGTACAAAGTAGCGACACACATGTGAATAAACATTATTTGTATTTGTGTGTTCGGCCAAATATGTGTATTTGGCCGAATGGGACTACTAAACTGAGTACAATTAACAGATTATTAGAACAAAACTAAACAATGTGAATAAATCAAAACATGAACAAGCTAATTTAAAAAGATGCACGAATGGAATGGAATGGTAAAAAATTTAATCGTTAACCTAAGACAATTTTAAAACACAATCAAACACGTGCATTTTCTGATCAAATTCATTGCAAACTTGAAAGACCAAATTACAAAAACTAAATCCTAACAAATTATCGAACAAAACTAAAAATTATTTACATTATTTCTATTCAAGTGTTCGAACTGAACTAAAAATACCTAGTTTATATCAAGTTTACGTCTAAAATTCAGTCACATGTAAACTGGCTGACTTGTTTTACGAAGTACTTAAATCCCAATTCAAAGTAATAATATCGCGTGAAAACTTATCCTGTATATTTTTCGCCATGTTCAGTACCTAGGGGCGTAGGAAATTTCGACACTAAGCAGGTAGCGACTAAAATTTAATGGCGATTTTCGACACCAGCCCCAATTCCCCTTTTTATCTTACAGGTATATTCGACACCAAATAAATATAGCTGCGACATAAATAAAATACCATAATTAATTTATTTATTTATTTTAATAAAAGTAATGTGCATTTTATTTCTTTATAACTGTAATAATATCTAAATATAATACAACTAGTACCTAATTTTTGTACATTTTACCGTTAATATACTTGTATATAATGATTTATTTGCTATTATAGGAATGATAAGATACAGCTTTTATAAAATCTAACCTACGTATTTGTTGGGATCGTAGTTTATCCATCATTTTCTCCAAAAATGCCGATTTAGCCTTAACAGTAGTATCTTTGATTTTTGCTGGTATATGTAAACTATTTATTTTGACATAAGTGTCTACTTGAAATTCTTTTAACTTTTCAATAAAATAAAAATAGAAGGATGTGTTGAATAAAAAGAAGAATTAAATCTCGAATGAAAGGATTCACAGGCATTTGTGGTCCTCGCAATAGAAAATGTAATTTTCCAGTAAATAATCTGCATATATATCAAGTGTTGCGTTTATAGGTTTATATGACATTAAATCATAAAGAAAGTATTCTTCAACTTCTGCTGGATTTAAATAAGTTAAACCAAACGTATGCCTTAACCATTTTCCAATTTCTGAATTTGTATCCTTATATTCATGTACCAAACCCAAAGATTGAATTTTTTTAAACCAGTTTTGGTGTAAGTGAAAACGGCATCCACTAATTTTTGCATTGGGCCACATATACAATAAAGCACAGTGAATTGCTTTTTCAAAGTCCACAAATATTTCAGTTGGCCCTAATGATAATTGAAATGTTTCAAAAA